ACACACACACACACACACACACACACACACACACACACACACACACAGGCACACACACAGGCACACAGGCACACACAGGCACACACACAGGCACACAGGCACACACACACACAGTTAGTCTGTCCTAACACTGAACTAAACCCAACTCAGAGAGTAAATATTTGTGCTGTGAAAGCTCATGCAGAGAAAGCTCCTCACCTCAGCACTGTGCCACCAAATCATGAAATATTCACAAAGAGAGAGATGGGGGGAGGTAAGAGAGAACGACGAGAGAGAGAGAGGTCACACATACCAGAGTGAGATGGACGGAGTGAAAATAGTGCGTGGGTAGGTGGCTTGATGCTACAGCAGAAGATCTGAAGGAGAGGAATGGGTTGTTGGTGGAGAGGAAGAGGAGAGAGGGACGAAAAAACAGAAGAGGTGTTGGGGGAGGCTGAAATAATGAATAAGGTTGAAGGCTGAGGAGAGAGAGAAAGACACACAGATAGGAGAGAGGTTTAAGAGTGTGACAGGACAAAAAGAAGGCAAAAGGAGCAGAGTGGGAGATGAGGTATGGTTGCTCTAAATGTAGAGGACAAATAAAGACGTCGACTGACAGGCACACCAGATCAGGAATAATCAGGCAGCACAATGTGTGGTGCAGCAGAGGAGATTTATAATAGTAAATGGATTGCAGGAAATGATGCTCTAAAGTTCTTTAGGTTCAGTCTGCAGCTGAAGAGTGATAATCCCTATCCAGAACATAATGAGGGTTTATTCCTTCACAGGTCATTCTGTCCCAACATCTTTAAAGACTTCTCACTAGTAGATCTTCTCTATTCACTTCCACTCTGCTCACTTTGCGACGTTAAAGGTTCATTACACGGTTTCAATATTTTCTCTCTTTTCTGATGCTTGAGTGAAGTTTACGTTGAGCTAATTCTACTTAAACAACAGTTCCAAAGCCCAGCTTTACCCTTAAACGCTTTCTGTTTTATCTGCAATTGTATTCACTGTGCTATGCTCAGTTTGTAGCCGTACTAGCAGCATTGCTATGGATGGTAATGTCGGTCTGAAACCTGGTCCATCACTTTGATCCAGAGTGAAATATCTTGACGATTTGGTACAAATATCATGTTTCCCACAGACTGAATTGTAAAAGGTTTTTAATGGTATCTTAACATACTGGTCTTTCTGCTTGCATCATCCTCAAACAATTTCTGTAACTTTCAGAAACTGACAATGTGCAGCATCATGAATTCTCCAGGATGGAGTAAATATGCACTGTTTTCCTTGTTTGACTTATCATGTCTTGTCCCTCTCCATGACAGCAGGCTTTTCGCCCCACCTTTGATTGAGGCCATTTGGAACAGCTCAACACTTATACTCTCAGACGTGGTCGGACATCCTGCTGTTAGTTTGCATACCTCTGCCTACAGTTTTGTTCTCCTGATGCTCCATGCTGCATATAGAAACCTATTACTTTTCACACACTTGTGTATGTGGGAAATGTTGTGATTATTTCCATCTAAAGTGAAGATAGAACAACAGTGGCATCTGTAATGGCTTGTGTAAACTTTGTAAAGTGTAAATGACGAATCAGTCTCGAATCATCATTACGCAAGGCAGAATCTGTGTTTCAACATTTGGAGTAGCAAGATGTGTCAGTTATTCAGTTCATAGATGTACAAGATTGAAGGTGTCGTGGTGGATTTAAAGTGATTGTGAGTCACTGAAAAAGGGGGAAAAATGTATCCAGCAGTGCTGAGACATTGCAGGTTGTGATCAGGGCACGAGCATTTGCAGTCTGTACATTAAATTGATTTGTAGTTACATGTATAAATGACTGCAGCGTAAAGATTTAAATATGTACAGTTTATCTCACAAATAATGTACAAACACATTTTGATAAATTATAGAATCAAATCTAACGATTATGACTAGGCCTACAAGTTTATATTCTCAAATGAAATTTTTCCTGCTCATGCAAATAATCTATTCAAGCCCACAGCATGCAGCTATTCATTATAGTTTATTGTTTTCTGCTCCTTTACTGTAATGTATTGTGGCAACTGTATTTATTGACACAAACAGGAAAATTCGAGTAAAATAAACTTAATTATAAAATCAGAAGATTCAAACAAAGTTTAATTCATGAAATGATTCCCGTATTCATTTTTCACCTTCATGTTTTTCTATTGCCACAGCTCTTTGACATGACAAATATACTGTAATTCTAGACCTTGATTGAAAGCTGAAGCCCTTTACTCACCATTAGTCATTAAACGAATTGGTGGGTAGTCCACACATAATGCAGCTGCTGAGCACTATCCCTGTTAACCTTCTCCCCTCAGCAGGGATCCAAAGACACCCGTTTGCATTATAGATCTTAGATGGATACATTAGAGTATAGACAACGGCCTTCCAAGAGGATTTGCATTTCTAAAAACACATTTTCCAGTACTGACCATTACTGGATGTTCGGAAATGACCTACTCTGCAGCCAAGAGCTACATGTTATTTACTTGCATTCATTCATTTGACAGAAGCTTTTGTCCAGAGCCATATTGTAAAAGTTGAATGTACTGCAGCCCATTTTGTCTGTAAGTGTAATGGCTGTATGTTCACTTTGTGAAAGCTAAACGCTAAACAACACCGCTAATACAAAAGGCAGAAGGAGCCAAATGTGTGTTTAGGGTTAAACAGAGACTCAGTAGCTGACACAGACACGAGGTAAAATCAAAAACTGTCGGTCTAAGAGAGAGCGGAGAGGAACATTTATGAAAACGTAAATACATAAAACAAGGGGGGACTTGTGGTCAGCTTATAGTGAGTACAGTCAATCATTCCAAAAGTTTTCCAACCAAATAAATGGGTAAAATATGGTCATTTTCAGTTATTATATGGTCTTGTACTGGGAATTTTAAACAAAATAATGCTGTCAGGATACATTCCAAAATCTATTCCCACTTTTTGTCTTCATCATATCCTGCCAATTTTAGCAGAGTGGAAAGATTGATGGGGAATGGAAACTGCCCCGGAACCTGAAGCAGCAAAAGCAGAACACTTTAATTTAGATCAAATTAAATATTTGGAAGTAGGGGAAAACACATTTCTAGTTGACTAATACGTCTGTGCTAAGCAGATTGCAAACAAGTACTTATAATGTAGGTGAATGTCTGAACAGACTACAGACTTTATTTTTTCAACCAAGCCCGTCAAAAAACAATATCCCAGAGGCAAACTCCTCTGCTGTCCATGGTGCTGAAATGCGGTGGTATTCTCAGTGTACACTGAGGAGTGTACACTGTTATCTTATTTTACATTGTATCAACAAACAGACAGGTTTCCAAGCTTCCAAAAAAGACTGTCTGAGAAAACTTTACTCAGGGAGGCAATGAAAAGTCATTTTTGAAAATTAACATTTGCGATATACTCAAAGATGACTACATTTTTCACAACCTGGGTTAAAGGCAAGTGGCAACCTCCGTTGCTGAGAAATTAAGCCAACTCGGAAGTTAAAATGGCTACTTTGCCCATTTCCGAAGGCCAGCACCAACTTGGTAGACATGTTAGTTTGGCCTCCAGGAAATGGTTCACTATGACATTAACGTTAAAACTGTTGCAGTCCAAAAAGGAAACAACGTTAGGTTTAGCAATCATCTTGGTAACTCACTTGGTGTCTGCACAGGGCAAGCAACCCAGACATCCACACTCGCTGTGTACAGTATCTGCAACATTTCTTTTCTGTTCAAGCCCATAAACAACATATAGGAGATAGCATTTCTAGTCAGCAACCTCATGCTTAACATTGTTGAATTGTTTGCCCTACCTAAATGCTGCAATTCCATTGTCAATATGAGGCCACAGTTATTACTTGAGCTATCACTCAAACAGTTAAAGAGTGACTGATTTAACCCATCAGTCTGAGCAGCACCTTTTTCCTCCCAGAGCAGAGCTGTGATTCTGAAAGCAAAAGGGTCATTACACCTTCTCCCTGTGGACTATTAACAATCATCTTCCCTATTGTGTTACAGATTAAAGCTCACAGGCCATTAGTCAGGATAGGTTGAAGCAAAGATGAAAGCTTTTACTAAAGCTCAATTACAATGTCAAGGTTCGTCATAATGAGCAGGTACCCTCTGTTGAGAAGTATCAACCATAACACAATACATAATGTCAGCACTTTAAAGGATTAAAATGGGAATCCTGTGTATTATTCATCACTTTGTGTGCAATATATTCCTGCAAAAAAACAACAGCAATATAAAAGTAATATGACAGTCTTCAGAAACGGCATAATATTAATGAACCACTGTTGTGCTGCACCGATTTATGTTGGCGAGCATTAGGAACATTACGTTACGCTACATGAATGGGCAGCAGATTATTGCTTTAAATTTTCACTAACAACAATGAAGTGACTTACAGGACCATGTAAATGAATGAATGTATGTGTGTGTAGGTGTGTGTGTGTTTGTGTGTAGGTGTGTGCGCCTTCAACCCACCAGGTCCCATATCAACTTATACTCTATTTGTCTGCTCGCCTTCCTCCCCTGCCACCATAAATAGAAACTGGCCTAGACACATTACTATTCCTACAACATAGTCCAATGCAGGTAACCTACATCATGGCACAGATGGGATACACCGACTTCAATAATGGCTTCATATTTCCTCCCATCTCCTCAGCGTCTCCCCCTGAATCAATAACGTCTGATGGAGGTGCGTTTTACATGGTGTCAAGTGAGAAATACCACAAAGACCAAGTTAGATTTGCACGCACGGACTTGAGGTAAAAAAAAATTGGCTTGCGCAAGAGCATTCGCCCTCTAAAAGACGGAGAGAGATAGAGAGAGAGAGAGAGAGAGAGAGAGAGAGAGAGAGAGAGAGAGAGA